GGCTCATCTCCTCCCCGAGACCCCTCTGCAAGGGGATCTCCAGTGGCTTACTAATGGGCTTTGGATCTCCACTCTGCACTCCCCCCATCATTCACTATGGTAAGATTTTTTGTTCTGATGATGCCTTACACCTGATCCCTTCAACGCCGGACTTTTCCTTTGTAAGAGAAACGTCTGGAGTCGCGCCGGGAGCACCTACCTTTCTGTCTGTCCCACTGGTGACAATCTGGAACTCCTCGGGGTGATAGCAAACACACTGGAATAAGGTGTTGGCCAGGATCATCTGGTTCCTCCGCAGACGCCTGCAGTAAAGAGATGCCAAAGCAGTGAACCTTGACTTTCTCTTCCCCAGGAAAAAATGTATTTACGATTCAAGTGAGAGTTGGCGCAAGCTCCGGTTGGTTTATCTTGCTCAGACAGCAAACGCTGCTCAGTCCAGTGGCATTTGTATTTCCTCACGGTAGATCTCTGGTTGCTCTGTCCACTCTGTTTGTGACCTGGCATTGCACCGAAGGGTACTGGCCAGGGCCCATTTATTTCTAAAGACAAGGCACAGAGCACAATGGAAAGTCCAGAGTCTCCACTGGAAGGAAGTAGGAGAGGCTGACCTCGGAGCCAGCCTGCGGTCCCCCTCGCAAGCTATTGTCTCAAGGCCACCGTTTGGAAGAGGGCCGATAAGCTGAGTGGTCAGCTCAGTGTGGGGAAGGGCTTTCCTTTTGTCTTGTTTTCCACTGTGGTGCATATACAGGCAACAAGACATTGGTCATTTCAATATTTTCCAATTCAGTGACATCGTTTGCCAAATTGTTCCACCATCACCATGGTTTGTCGCCAGAATTCTCCATCACCCGTAATAGAAACTCCGTGTCTTCTAAGCAATGAGTCCCCAGTCCTCCTCTCTCTTGCCTGCCACTGGTACCCCCTGCAAAACCTTGACCTCTATAGTCAAAGAGTTCATGGGAAAATGAAGTGACGATCATGGAATTTTTCCACATGCTTCTATATGCCTCCGTGTACTTGCCTATTCTATTTTTTTCATATAAATGGACTCCTAATATTTATCCTTTGGGGACAAATTTTACCCCACGTTTTCATTATTTTTTCATCCATATTGTAGTATGGAACTGGGCCTCATTTTTCTTTAGGGACGAATACTTGTATGTAGGGACTATACTTTAACTATACATCTATTGATAGACATATGAGTTGTTTCCATCATTTGGCTATTATGGAGGGTGTTGCAATAAATATTGGGGTACCAGTATTTGTGTTCCTGCTTTCTTTTTTTTTCTGCTTTCAATTCCTTTGAGTATCGATCTCAGCAGGAATTGCTGGATCATATGGTAATTCTATTTAACTTTCGGCGGAAACACCAAACCATCTTCCACGGGGTTGGCACTGTTTCACATTCTCACTAGCAATGGATGAAGCTGGAGCAGACGTGATCAAAAAGGGTCTCCTTGGGCTTCTCCTTCGGGAACTTGGATTCTGCCAGTGGAGACGAAGCCCACAGAGCTCCATTCATTACTAGCCAGCCTCTGAATGGATTCTTATGCCCACAATCATGTGAGAGCCATTGCTTTAGACACCACCCCAACACATATAAAGATGTCGCTTCTCTTTCCATAGACAACGCTGCTGGCTGGCTATTAAAAATAAATACTTTTTGCCCAATTTCTTCTGTATTAGAGCTTAAATTATGAGCACTCTGTTTGCAGATGACTATGGATGATAGTGAAAAGCCAAAATCTGTTTACAGAATCCCCAGATAGATTAAGCCTCCATTGAATTTCTTCTGATCATTAGTCAAGGGTGTAGAATAGATAATCTTGCCCTCAAGCAGCGTGCACTGGACAGTGGATTGCTTCCGCCCCTCTCTAGCCAGAGCAGGGAGGGATAGTCTCTTTGCAGGGCTTGCCTGGGTATCTCCTTCGTGAAGATCACCCTCCTGGGGACCAGTATGGCAGCTGGGGGGCCTGGTCATGAATCATGCCTATCAGTCATACCTTGGATGCCTTGGTGGGAAGGCCCTGGACTAATCTTGTAAGCTCTTCTATCAAGTGTAATGTGCACATCCCAATCATGGTCCTGTCGCCCTTCGGTAACCATGGGGTTTGCCCACCTATAACTGTGATGTACCGCTCCGTCACCCATCCTGAGTTTTTGATGATTTCCTGTGTCCCCATTTAGACTGTGACTCCTTGGACACCATTATGAGCCCGTGCTAATGGCTTCTCTCATCCAGTTAATGTGTCTATGTCTTTATGTTGTCTTTGTCCTTTTTATGACTTAATCATTGTTCTCCTAAAATTATTAAATTTGAGATCGTGATCTCTTTTATACCTTTAAACACTTCTCTTTATGGAAGTACTGAAACATCATTTCTGGGTGCAGCAGTTTTAAGGACTTAGGCACATATTAACCAATGATTTCTGCTAAACAACAGAGGTCTTAAAGATTTGAAATGGTCAAAACCAGCCATGGAAATAAGTATAGGCATGTCCTAGGTCAGCGGTTCTCAACCTGTGGGTTGTGACCCCTTTGGGGGTCGAATGACCCTTTCACAGGGGTCGCCCGATTCATAACAGTAGCAAAATTACAGTGATGAAGTAGCAACAAAAATAATATTATGTTTGGGTGGGTCACCTTAACATGAGGAACTGTGTGAAAGGGTCACAGCATTAGCAAGGTTGAGAACCACTGCTCTAGGTGGATGGTTTCCCAATGGAAGTTCAAGTGCGGTCCTTAGAGGAGCAGCCTAGGCATCGTCTAAGAACTTGTTGAAATGGAGAATCTTAGATGCCCTTCCAGGTCTAAGGAAACACACTGTACATTTGAACAAGATCCCCAGGTGACTGGTATGCAGATTAGAGTTGGAGACAAACTAGACTAGAAGACAGAGGCTTGCTTTTCTTTCTTTCTTTCTTTCTTTTTTCTTCTTCTTCACCTATTAAATGAAAAGCTCTTTGCCTTTTTCCTTTGTTCCCATTATCTGGTCTCCAATCAAGAACATTTCAAACTCTTTTGCTATATATAGCTCCTTCCTTCCAATTCTGTTCTTATTTAAATGGAATGCATGTAGGGATGGTACTGGGGTACAGGGCAGGGCTTGGTAGAATAGGGTCTGTTTCTAAACTAAAAGCACACAGCAAGCAAACCGATAGTCAAAAACTCAACATTTACCCTGGAAAACCCTTTGTCTGTGTGCTTTAGTCTAGTTGCCTTGGATCTGCCTACCAACCCCCCTGCCACGGAGTAAATTCCAACTCATAAGCAACCCTACAGGACAGGGTAGAATTGCCCCTTTGGGTTTCTGAGAATGTAACTCTTTACCAGAGTAGAAAGCCCCATCTTCCTCCTATAGAGTGGCTCATGGATTTGAACTGCAGACCTTGTGGTTTGCAGCCCAACGCTTAATGCATTATGGGACTAGGGCTCCTTGGCTTGAATTTGTTGTTGTTGTTGTTAGGTGCCATGGCATCAGTTCCTACACAGTTCCTGCACATCAGAAGGAAGTACCACATGGTCCTGCACCTTTCTCACCATTGTTCCTGTGCCTGAGCTCACTGTTGCAGACACGGTATCAATCTACGCTGTCCGGGGCCTGTCTCTCTTTCCCTGCCCCTCTACTTTACCCAGGATGATGTTCTCCTCCAGGAACTGGTCTCTACTGGCAACATGTCCAAAGTACATAAGATGAAGTCTTGCCATGCTAGCCTCTAAAGAGGATTGTGGCCATAATTCTTCCAAGACAGATTGGTTTGTCCTTTAGGCAGTCCATGGTACTTTCAATAGTCTTCTCTAGTACCACAATTCAAATGCCTCAACTCTTCTTTGGGCTTGCTTATTCAATGTCCAACGTTCACATGCATAGGTGGCCAATGAAAGTATCATAGCTTGGATCAGGTGCACCTTAGTCCTCAAAATAAGTATCTGCTTTTCGATACTCTGAAGAGGTCTTGTGCAGCGGATTTACCCAATGCAACATGTCATTTGCTCTCTTGACTGCTGCTTCCATGAGCAATGATTGTGGATCTAAGCAAGACAAAATCCTTGACAACTTCGATCTTTTGTCCATTTATCATGATGTTACCTATTGATCCTGGTGTGGGGATTTTGGTTTCCTTTACATTGAGTTGTAATCTGTATTGAAGGCTGTGTCAGAGTAAATCAGCGGACAACCGAGGGGCCCATAGGCACAATTGTACAGTTATAATATATAAAGATCATAGTAAAGTCACAGAAGACAGGAGAGAGAGTAAAACAAAGGAGCCAGACACATTTGGGACGTCGGGGACGGCCGTGATTTCAGCAGCCAGGTCTGCCCAGAGAGAGAGAATATATTTCTAACCAAGGCTTATATGCACTTATGGGGCGCAACAAGCTCCCCTAATTACAGGTAACCACATACATCACAGGAAGGGGCTGTCCAATAGACATATGCGTGACAGGAAGGGGATGAGCTAGGGGTGTACATGCAATAGGAAGGGGAGGGACTAGGGTACACATGTGACAAGATGGGCGGATACTAGCTTCAAGATGGCAACCGAACCTTGGTCTTCCTTGAGTGGGCTTGACCTTGTCTCTGGGCTCTCCTTCAAGGAAACAATGCACTATCCTTATCAGCAGGGTGTGGGCCCCACCTACTGTGGGACAGACAATAATGTCTGATTGCTCTAGATGGCTGATGCCCTCAGGGAGACAACCCCTAATTTTCTTCAGCTCCCCCAAATCATCGTTCCTGGTGAAGCGTCTCTAGAATCGGAAGCTTTGGGACAGCTTTGGGGAGAAGGTACAGCCACATTCATATTGCTCTATCTCTCGACGTTAGCTGGTGCTGTCTGCTCCTGTAAAGATTTATAGCCCTGCGTGAGGCGTTCAGGGGCTACTTCTGTGGATAGCCGGTGCCTTCTTTGTGGTCTGCTCTTAGTCTGGATGCTGCTCTGAAACCTGTTCACCTTGGGTGTCCCTGCTGGCCTTCGAGATGCCAGTAACATAGCTTCCAGCATCACAGCCACGCACAAGCCACCACAGCGCGACAAACTGGCTGACCAGTGGTAGTGCCTTGGAGGGAGGCAACCTACAAAACCAGCTGCTGCCAAACTGTTTCGAACTCACGGCCACCACATCGGAGCAGGGACCCACCCCCCCCCCTAAAAAAACCCAGAATTTTTTTAACAAAACAACCTTATGCTCTCCACTACACTTCATGTATTTGCCAAATCTGCGATTCCTTTCTTGGAAACATTTCTCAAACTCATCTGTTTGGATGGCTGATAAGACCTTCCTCGTTTGTTTCTTCACCTCTTCTATGTCATCAAAGTGCTGTCCTTTCATGTCCCTCTTCATTCTCGGAAACAAAAAGAAGTCGCATAGAACGAGGTCAGGTGAGAAAGGTGTGTGGGGCATGCTAGTTTTTTGCCAAAAACTGGCTCACTGAGATGGCTGTGTGAGCAGGTGTACTGTTGTAGTGGCAAAACCGGTCCCCAGACTGGCACAACTCAGGCCTTTTTTGTCACACTTTGTTATGCTGTTTTCAGAACCTCTAAATAGAAAGCTTGATTAACAGTCTGACCTGGTGGAATGAACTACAAATGCACTCTGCCCCTTACATCAGAAAAACAAATGAGCATCTACTTGATCTTTAAGCTCACTGGAGAAGCTTTTGGGGGGTGAGTGATGATGGCATCTTCCACTGGCTTGCTTGATGTTTGCTTTGGGGTTGTAGGAATAGCGCTATGTCTCCTCACCAGTAATGACCTTGGGGGAAAAGTCTGGGTCGATTCAGAGCTGCTCTTTCATAGCATGTCATGTTTCCACTTGACACTTTTTTTCCTGATCAGTCAGAACCCAAGGCACAAATTTTGCAGCGACCTGTCTCATTTCCAAATCTTCTGTTAAAATTCGCTGAACTGAGCTCCAAGATAGTCCAATAACTTCCCCATCTCTTCAATTGTCTGTCTTGGGTCTTCGGCCACAGGTGCATGAACTTTGTCGATATTTTCATCTGTTTGGGAAGTTGATAGATGTCCAGAACAAGGTGTGTCATCAATTGACATTTCCCCTTTTTAGAAACGAGAAGACCACTCGTACACTTGAGTTTTTCCCACACTGCTGTCCTTGTAACCTGTGTTCATCATCACAACAGTTTCTGCAGCATTTTTCCCCAGCAGGAAACAAAATTTCACAGTCCCATGGTGTTCTCTTAAATAGGCCATCACAAAAAATGAGGTTCGAGTCAAACTGCTTTTACAAAAAAATTCACTGTGACCAGAGAGAACCTTCCCAGGTGATGCCACTGGGTGCACTAACTCCAAGCAAGTTGCTCAATGCTCGCCTAGCAGGAAAAATACATACTATGAAAGCTCCGCCCAGCAGAGCTTTTCCCCCTTTTTTTGTGGGGTGGAGAGGGGAGCTGTATCCCCTCATATGGATCAGAGAAGAACTGTGTTCCACTGTGTTTGCAATGGCTGGTTTCCCACAAATAGTTTACCGGGTCTTTTCCCCCAGGTTCTTCTGAATGGACCTTAACATTTCAGTTAGCAGCCAAGCACATTGACCATTTACACTACTTCCAAGGGCCTAGCCTCTAGAGCCCAGGTGGCATAGTGGTTACACATTGGACTGCTAACAGCAAGGCCAGCAATTCGAAACCACCAGCCAGCCACTGTTTGGGAGAAAGCTGAGGCTTACTGCTCCCATAAGGAGTTACAGTCTGAGTTTGAATGTATTTGATGGCAGTGAGGATTCCTAAGCATCCTATGAGTGTAGCTCACCTTAAAAGAAAGCCCTGGGAATGTTGCCAACGGAGGGTGAGGGTGACGTTATGCCAATGACCTCAAGTATAACAACTGTGAGGATGACGCAGGACTGGGCTGTGTCTCCTACTGTTGTAAGTACAGTTGCTTAGACTTGGACTTGACTCAAAGGCACCAAAAACAGCCCCTTAGCCATATGCACCTCCTGGGCTTGGTGTGATTGGGGGAAGTGACAGCAGGAGGGGAGCTGCTTGCCTTCCTTTAGCTCTTTCCCTTGCTTTCTTTCTCTTAGAAGACCCGAGGGGAATCTGGGAACGTTAAATCATGCCTCTGTCGCAAATAGGGTCAATATCAAGTAGAAGCAACAGGAAGGCACCCACCACCACCGAATCCAGCCTCACTCGGTCCATCCAGCAATCGGCTTCTGCAGCCACCCAGACACCCCCGAGATTCAGTGCTTCTAGAACCACACTCTTCCCACTCGTACCTGTCAACTCTGAGTGCCAGGGACCAATCATGGCCATGCAAGTCTCCTTTACTGATACTAGACATGAGATGTCTACTCTTCGCTTGGAGGGGTCCTGGTGACATCACAGGTTAGGTGTTGTGCTACTAATCACAAGGCCAATAGTTCAAACCCACCAGTCACTCCTCTTGAGAGAAAATTAGGCTTTCTGCTTCCATGAGGATTTAAAGACTCAGGTTCTGCCGTCTTCTCCCAGGTTTGATAACATGCTAAGATCATAGTGCCTGGTCTAGTAAATGGTGCTTCGCCCTTCCCATCATTGCCACGTACACAAGATCCCAAATGATGCAGGTCCCATCGGTGCTGGCTGTGACACACTCCTCGTTGTTCTTCTTCACCTTGATGCAGGACACGGAGGACTTGTGCTCCTTCAGGGCCTCCTCCAGCTTCTGGGTCTGACAGCCAATCTGCCACACCCTCACCTGAAACCCACAAAGCACCCCCACTCAGTGCCAGCTCGGGGTGGGGGTGGGGACGGCTGGTGTTTTCCTTCCTTTCCCATTCTCAGTGGTGGAAGATGGGAATGCTAAATGGAAAGGCAGGAACACTCACACACGAAATGGAGCCAGTTAACCTGCACCCAGGTTGAACTCCGGGCAGAGAAATGGATCACTACTGAAACCAACCATGCAAAGGCCTCTGTGAAGCCAAGTGACATGATTTGTCTCCGAGCTCAAGTCCACTGCCATGGGCTTGGTTCTGACCCATAGAGACCCTGTAGGGCAGAGCAGAACTGCCCCTGTGGCTTTTTGACACTGTAACTCTTCTCAGAGAGTAGAAAGCCTCACCTTTCTCCCACACTATGCCACCAGGACTCCTTAAGGATTTTTCTATTCACTAGCAAATGAGCATTGCTCTCAAATTTCTGATGCTGTCAGGAAATTTCTGGACTATCCAGAGTTACGTACCATGAGTCCTCAGTGGAAGGAACATGGCAGTTTCCACAGGCCAGGTGGTGAAAATGGGCATTATGTGAAAATAGAGGATTCTGGACTTTTTTCTTTTTTCAAACCAAAAATGGATATCTGTCTGATTTAAAATAAAATATAGTCATAGAAACAATAGCATCTAAGACGTACTACTGTATTCATCACTGCTACGAGTTATTCCTCCTGAGAGAAGGCAGCTTCGAGGAGCCCACCCGGATGGCGCTGGGCAGATGGCAAGACAGGCGCCCTGGCCACGTGGGGGTTTCACACGGGGCTGCTAACCACATCTCAGCAGTGTGAAAACACCAGCTGTTCTACAGCAGAGAGATGGGATTTTCTGTTCCCATAAGGAATTACAATCTCCGGAACCCACAGAGGCAGCTCTCCCCTGTTCTACAGGGGCTCCCTGAGTCAGTGTTGACTTGATAGCAGAGAGGCGTTTTTGTATTGGTGTTTGTTTGTTTATTGGTGTGACACAAGGGTTTGACTCCCTCCCCTTCCTTCTATGCTGGGTCAGAGTGTCTGACTGAGCTGCCCCAGGACTCCTCTCCCACCCTTGCAAGCCTGATCTCCCCTCCAAGCCTGGTGAGCCACGGAGAGGGCATGGCGAGCCTGATGCAGAACCAAGCCTTGCCTCCCTTAGGGGGGAGCTTTAGGCCCAGTTCAGCTCACCTTGAGGTTTCCTTAGACTTGCTCCCATTTCTTCCAAATAACTTCTTCTCCCATGCATCTTTCTTTCCTCCCTGCCCACCCCAACAGTAGTTGAGAACTGCAGGGAAGCTGGAGCTCAGAATAGGCATCTGCTCGCTGGCTTGGTGCTGCCTGGGCTTCAGCCTGGAGACCCAGCACTGGCCAGAGGAGGCTGCCTGGAAACAGCCGGGTGCAGTGCTCACTGGCAAGAGGAGCAGAGGGCTTGGGGAGCAGAGGGACACCCCAGACCCTTTGTCACCATTGGTGCCATACTTGCTCTAGATCAAGGGTCCTATTTAAGAAAAACAGTCTGCTTGTAAGGACAATACCTCCCCTTCTCCACCGCCACTGATGACCCGTTTACAGTCACTGGTGGTGGCGATGGCAGTCACTCCAATCCTGTGGGCATTGTTGATGATGTAAATCAGCCGGCCTGACTCAGGGGCGAAGGCTCGGATTCTACCATCATTCCACGCTGGTGCGAAACACAAACAAACAAACAAATATCGGACAAAGTAAGTAAACTCACTCTCTCCTCACATAGAGTGCTGCCCTCCTAAAGCATCATTGGGCGTCAGATCTGGGGGCGAGGATGGTGATGGAATAAAGAGAAAACCCCCACCCACCAACTGACAGTAATCACATACCCCCCACCCCTCTCTCCTGGCACCCTGAAACTGGTTCCACTTGGTCAGGGGAAAAATAATGATTCGTCCTGGTTTAACTGACCTCCAGGTGGATCCCATGCCAGGAAAGGGAAGGAAGCAGGGAGGCTAGCTCCCAGCTCTTCATGAGCTACAGACTGGGACATTTCAACAATCTGGTTGATATCATTCCTTGGATGTATAATTTTACATTTCAGAGAAAGCACTGCATGCTTAAATCTCATGCTCCTCACCCCACCATCTTCGGTATCACAATAAACGTGGCCATCAACCAGCCAGTTGCACACGCCAAGAACCTCAGGAGTATCTTTGGCCCATGAATTTGTTTGCCTTCCAGTTACCTTCTAGTTTACCCGCATTTTGCCAATCTGAGTCCATTCTGGTCTCACTCTGTCGGCTAAGCCAGCAAGGGTGGACTTGAAGGAGAAAGACAGAACCAAAAGCATGCCTGGAACCCAAATCCAACTTGGGATAGGCGGATGCTACCTGAAATGATGCTCTTCCCGTCTCTCATGAAATCAATGGCGTGGCACGTCATGTTGGGCACGGTGATTCGCAGCAGCTCCCTGTTGGACAAGGTGTGCCACACTCTGATGTCCTTCTTGGCACAGGTAGCAAACAGCTCAGCAGTGCCACTGCAAAGAAGCCACCGAGAGACTCAGAGGAGCAGCCATCAAAGGCACATAGTGCTTGTCACATGCACATGTGACAAGTGATTAACCATTGTGACAAGTAATCACCCTACTCTTCCTAAAGGGAAAGGACTATAAACAACAACAAAAGAAGGCCACACATTGTACGATGCTCACCTTTCTGACATGATTGCTGAAGACAAAATGGGTGCATAAGCAAATGTGGTGAAGCTGATGGTGCCCGGCTATTAAAAGATATAGCGTCTGGGGTCCCAAAGGCTTGTAGTTAAACAAGCGGTCATGTAGCAGGGAAGCCACCAAGCCCATATGGAAGAAGCACAGCAGCTTGTGTGATCTGAGGCGTCAACGATGGGAAGAGGTATCAGAAGTTCAAAAAAACCATGCAACCAAATCGATATGAAGGGGAGTGGATGTGGTGGAGCCCCACATTTCACCAGCAAGACAACTGGACAGTCCCTCTCAGAATGGCCACATGGAACATAGGATAAATTTGGGGGGCAGTATGGCACTGATGAGTCACATAACTATCCTCTAGTCCTTTAAGATTTCCCCCCTTACTATTAAGGTCTTTATGTGTTATACCTCATTAATCATGTTAGCTATGCGTTTGTTCATTTGTATATTTAAGATCCGTTGGTACATGGTAGTCAAGCTAGATGTCCCCTCAGAGATAATGACAAGAGGAATGGTTCCCCAAGGGAACGGGAAGTGAGGTGGTGGGGAAGGATGGGGAAGGGGAGTTGATAGTATTTATGATTGTATAACCCCACCGATGGGATTGAACAACAGAACTGGATTGGGAATGGATATATTGGAATGAGTGCGCTATGCCAATTAAAATTTTTATAAATTAAAAAAAAAGAGAAGACCACAGATGAATTGAAGGCACCAAGTGTAGTTTTACACAAGACTTTTGTGATGCCATCAGGCCGTCAGGTAGTCAGCGACATCGGTCATGCACCCTTTCCTGTACTTGTGGGACCCAGCCGCATGTCCAGTGTGCGTGGACTCTGCCCTCTGGATGTGCTACAATGTCCTTGCCTGTATTTTCAGTACATACAAATACATATGTAAAATATCCTATATTTACAAACAGACTGCCATGCGCCTTCCCACGTCTGTCTGTCTGGTCATGTCTGTCTGTCTGGTCATGTCTATCTACATATCTCCTTATAGATGTTGTTGATCATTGCTATTGTTGCCAGGTTGTGCGTGTAATATTTACCTTTGCTGTCTTTCTCCCCGTATACCTCCAGCATTGAGAGGCCTGTAAGTAACTGTATATACTCATGTATAAGCCGAGTTTTTCAGCACATTTTTAAAATAAATTATTTTATTTACAACTCTTATCACAATCCATACATCCATCCATTATGTCAAGCACATTTGTACATATGTCGCCATCATCATTCTCAAAACATTTGCTTTCTACTTGAGCCCTTGGTATTAGTTTCTCATTTTTTCCCCTCCCTCCCCTCTACCCCGTCCCTCATGAACCCTTGATAATTTATAAATTATTATTATTTTATCTTTCTTACACTGTGCATCCCCCAGGGAGGAGGTTATATGTAGATCCTTGTAATCGGTTCTCCCTTTCCACCCCACCTTCCCTCCACCCTCCCAGTATCGCCTCTCTCACCCCTGGCCCTGAAGGGATCATCCGTCCTGGATTCCCTGTGTTTTCAGCTCCTATCTGTACCAGTGTACTTCTTCTGGTCTAGCCAGATTTGTAAAGTAGAATTGGGATCATGATAGTGGTGGTGGTGGTGGGGAAGCATTTAAGAGCTAGAGGAAAGTTGTATGTTTCATCGTTACTACACTGCACCCTGACTGGCTTGTCTCCACCCCGTGACCCTCCTGTAAGGGGATGTCCAGTTGCTTACAGATGGGCTGTGGGTCTCCAATCTGCACTCCCCCTCCTTCACAATGATATGATTTTTTGTTCTTTGATGCCTGATACCTCATCCCTTCAACACCTTGTGATCACACAGGCTGGTGTGCTTCTTCCATGTGGGCTTTGTTGCTTCTGAGCTAGATGGCCGCTTGTTTACCTTCAAGCCTTTTAGACCCCAGACGCTATATCTTTTGATACCCGGACCCCATCAGATTTCTTCTCCACATTTGCTTATGCACACATTTGTCTTCAGCGATTCAGCACATCTTTAATGCAGTTTTGTGGTAAAATTAGGTGCCTTGGCTGATATTTGGGTTGCTTTATACTCTAGTATATACGGTAACTTGTTCATTTTGAGCTACCTTCCCCTTCCCCTTCCCAAAGGAAAAGGATTACAAACGACAACAATGACCCCAGATGAGAGGAAGACATCAAACGTTACTTTACACCATGTGTTTGTAATATTGTCAGGCCCACCGGTATCTTTCCCTCTCCTACTCACAATGGAAAGACGATGTCCTGGACAGCCTCAAAGTGACAAGTCGCAATGAGAGTCTCTTGGAAGTCTGTGAAGGTGACCCGGTAAATGTGTGATTCTTCTGTTCCGACGAAAAACTGGTGTCCTTCCCCTCGAAGAGCGATGGAAGTGATGCCCCCTTGTAACTGGATTTTCCTTTAAAAAGAAGCAGGAGCCAAGTAGACCCATTGGACCGACGACGACTTCCTAACTCAGAAGTATGAACAGCCAGTGTTGGCATGTGCTATTCAGTGGATTCCAACTCCCGGCTCTACACAGAGTAGATCCACACTGACCTACATGGTGGTTTCTCGGGCTGCAATCTTTACCGAAATGCTAGTGGGTACCATTGAGGGGTTAAACATTAAGAAATTAATGTCAGACAGTCACGTTATGTATCCAAAGTCTGACCAACATTGTTCTACAGCACCCCACCCCTTGTTCTTCCTCACACAACCACAAAACTGGTCAGAAAATATTCTCAATAAAATCTACCTTCATCCACCCTCATGGAACTTAAAATTGCAACCTGCCCCCTCACTCCTTCACTCCTTTATGCCCTGATCTCCCCGCCCCCCTCACCCCTGCCATTGCCCTACTCCATTCATCTCTACTATACTGATCATCCTTGAAAGCTATTCGCTTCACTTGTTTCTGTGGTTCAATAGGTATTGTCTTGCCCCTTCTGCTACAACGTCAGCTCTTTGACATTCAAAGAGGCAGGGCCCTCCTTTCTACTTTGCTTGCTTTACGCATCGATCTATCAAGGTACCCAGGACAGTGCCTGGCGCGCGGTGAGTGCTCAGCACATACAAGCATTTGATGCTGATTTCTCCAAATGTGTGTGCTTTCTGGGAGCTACCAGAGGCCATATGGATCATGTCCACAGGTGGCCCACTTGTCATACCTGAGCTCAGGTCTTGCCTCCATTACTCTGTTAAGTCCCTTGGATGTCTTCTCCAGCCCACGCCTTCGCTGATCTTCTCAACACCCATGATATATTTTACCTTGTCTGGGCCATTTGGTTTATGCATATACATCATCTTACACTCTAGTGATGATTTCATGGACATATACTTTATCCCCAAATGAGGTGATAAGTTCAAGAAGTCAAATACTAAATCTTATTTTTCTTTATAATTGTTTTACAGCATCTAGCACCTTGGTGTTTAGTCTCATGCACTTTGTCTCACGTACTTTGGACATGTTTTAGGAGAGACCGGTCCCTGCAAAAGGACATCATACTTGGTAGAGGGGAGAGGGCCAGAGGGCCAGAGAAAAACAGGAAGACCCTCAAGGAGCCGGATGGACACAGTGGCTGTCACAATGGGCTCAGACATAGCAACGGTTGTGAGGGAGACTCGGGACCAGGCAGTGTTTCCCTCTGTTGTATACGGGTCTCTGCTGCTTGGAACCTACTTGGTGGTGCCTAACAATAACAGCACATGGGTTTGGACAGATGAGGTACTCATTGATGGCATTCCATCATGCTTTAGTTCATTTTCCTTTACTGTGATATGCATGAAAAGTACAAAGGATAGTACCTGGCACAGAGAGACTGCTGGTCAATTATGGCTATGTGTATTAGAGTTTGTATTCAAATGTATTAGCTACTGGCACGGTGGTCGGCACATAAGATCCATTGCTGTAGGGTCCATTCCTGCTCATAGCAACCCTGTAAGACAGAGCACCACTGCTCCACAGTCATGTTTTGGAAGTTGTAAATCCTTATGGAAGCAGGCGTCTGCGTCCTTCTCCCTTGGAAAAGTTGGTGGGTTCAAACGCCAACCTGCCAGTTAGCAACCCAAAGCTTAACCCCCTGTGCCACCAGAACTCTCTCTGGGACATAATAGGCACCCAATGCACTTTGCTGAATAAGCCAATCTTGAAGAGCTTGAAATTTGGGCTTCTTTGGATACTGAGGTAGTTAGTTTATTGTGCCAACCTGGCCGATAAGCACGTGGGGTTAATTGAAGGACAGAGAGATAAATGGCTTTGTGAGCCTCGCCTTTCTAGTTCTCAGATCTCTTGCTTTGTGATGATCAGACCAGGGTGCAGCTGCCTTAGCTAGTTCCTTGCTTCAGCTTGCAAGGCTCACTTCCTGCAAGACATCCCTGAGGAGAAGCCGCATGGACCTACCCCGATGCAGCCCTGGGTGCTGGAGCAGCCGTGTGGAGACCCGTGCCAGTGCTGGGATGCTTACATGCTCACTGACTCGGCTTTCCTCCTGCAGTCGGCATCATTGCATCTGTTTTGTGAGATGGAGGAGGACTTTGTGGATTGATGTGAAAGATATGGACATATGGGTTAATGTTGGACTTGTGGGCTTGGCCAGCACTGGGTTGGGATGTTTTCTTGAAGTGCACTTAACCTTTCTATAAAACTCTCTCTCTTATACATGACTTTCTGTGGATTTATTTCTCTAAAGTACCCAGACTCACAGATACATTCGTAGCATGTGTTACCTTGATGACGGACTCAACGCAGTAATGTATGTATTTATTTAAAGGACCAGGTGGCCTCTTTGGTAATGCTGGACGACTTTGGCTTGATTCATCATAAACTATGACCTTTTCATCGGCAAAAAAACTACTCTTTACTCTGACGTCAACCACTTTGAATGGCAGGATGAAACTGTTTGATACAAATGCCAGTGTGCTCCTCGTGGTTACTTGTGAGCTCCAGTGGGTGTCTCCCCATCCCAGCCCTAAATGGCCCCGGACTTACTTGATAACTTTGTAGCTGGGGCTTTTACAGAACACCAGCAGTCCAGCTCCAGAGCCCAACAGCAGGCCTCCCATCTTCAGGCATCTGACCGCTGATACTCCCTGAGGGGGAGAACAGGTCACCAGTCTCCATGCAAGCGCAGGGCCCTTCCTGAACATTTCCATCAAAGACTCCACAGAAGAAACACCCGCCAAAGGGGGAAGATGCAGAACAAAGTTTCAAATCCCCCAACTCCAGACTTCCTCAAAACAGGACATTCACCGCCATAGAGGTGATGCTGATTCAGACAGGTCTTCCATAGGACAGAGTAGAACTGGCCCTGTGAGTTTTGAAGGCGTGTAACTCTTTGTGGAACTAGAAAGCCTCATCTTTCTCTCACGGAGCCGCTGGTGGTTTTGAATCCCTGACCTTGCAGTTCAGTAGCCCAATGCATAACCAGTGGAGCTGTGAAAATGGAACGAGCCCTTGAAACGCTTGCCCTGCACTCATCTTTAAACCTTAAAACAAAATACTGCCTGAAGTCTTCGTGAAACCAAACAGTACTTGAGCTTAACTAGGAAAAAAAAAATCTGCCGTGAGTCGTCATACTCCTTAACAATGATCTACAGGAGATCAGATTGACAACGGGCACCGGAAAGATGAGAGGGGGACTTTTATTTATGTTAATGAAGGGGGAGGGGCCCAGAAAAGGAGATTGAGAATGGTTGCCCAACGGAGGAACGGAGTCCCTGTCACTACACAGTACGTGGACTCGCTGTTAGATTGGTGGACGTCTTCAACAACAAAAGAAAACATTTTAAAATATATAAATATATATATTGATAAATTCATTTGCGTTTATTAAATTTATAAAATAATTTATTATTACTAATATTGTATTACATTTACCTGTATCTCAGAACTTTATTAAATATTTAGATCTCTAATATGTCTTATAGCTATGTAAGGACTGGTCCAGAAGCACAGCCACGTTCATACCAGGGTGGCCGCACGTTGTCTGGATGGTGTCTGGGATGTACCATCAGGTTGGACAGAAAGGGTCGCTGCCAACATGAGCTATTACACCAGGAAGCAGCTGAGATGGATTGGCCCGGTGGCTGCAACAATGAACTTGAGCGTGGGAATGACTGAGGATGGCCGAGGACCAGCGGTGCTTCCTTCTGTTGCACATCATGTCGCTGTGAGTCGGAGCCGGCTCACTGACACCAGGTGAGCGCAGCCACAGCAGCTCCCTCCTCTGGTCTTGGACGTCATGGGGGCAGTCCTTGGATTACACAGGCTGGTGTGCTTCTTCTGCTTAGACTTAGCGGAGACCTCGCTTAGAGGCCTGCTTGTTTTAAGACAAGCCTTTACGACCCTATCGCTATCCTTTCTGACTGCTGGGCACCATCTGGGCTCTTCACCACACTTCGCTAGAGCACCTATACTCAGTGATGGCTTCATGAGGGCAAGCACGGAGTAGGGCCGCATGCAGACCCCTTCTTAATGAGAAAGAGGGAAGAAAGGGCTAGAAAACAGGGGGCAGGAGAAGGCAGGGCTCAACGGTCTCCACTCACCAGACTGAATTTGTCCTTCATGGGCCCAGTGTCCACCAGCAGCTTAGTCCTTGGGTTCATTTTGAGAATGTCTCCGGTCGTGGTGCCCAGGTAGAAAAAGTTATCATCGTCTGCCATCTTGGGGGGGAGAGTAACACATTGTGAGCACCATGGCCCGTGACGGGGTACGCATTCCTTGGCGACCATGCAGACCTACACAGGTGTCCATGGCTACTTCTGGGGTCCCCAGACTGAAGGTGCGTTTGGGCACTGCTGAGAGCAGAACCCAGGCCAAACACACATCTGAAGAAACTACTAGACTGTGATCAGCCAGTGCATTTCACCGAAAGTTGGTGCACACGCTTGCTTTTACTTTTCTTCCCTCCTTTTCTTTTGTTTTCCCTGTTAGCAATTCACCCGATTGGATCGGTTTCCATTGTTCTGTGTCTGTGGGTTTTAAACAGGGTCCCTTTGCCATCTGGCCAGGTCATCCTCTCTCCTTCCATGGCTACTTCCCCCATCAGGAGCAGGAAGAGGAGACACTTTCCTCGCAATGCCCTCCAGTCACACACACACACACACACACACACACACACACACACACACACACACCATATCTTGGTGAGGACTATTAACAAGAACGTGTACAAATAGTGACACTAAAATAGAAAGTCATCTGCTTACTGTAATGCTCATCACTATCCTTTTCATCTGTCCGGTTAGGCACTCAGTTGGCCTGATTTTCCTGTTGGGGAGATCCAGTTCCCAGACTCGAATTGTCCCACTGGAAAAAAGATCGCACAGTCAAGGACGTGCATGTTTGGTGGCCACGTCCTCTCTTCTCTGCTTCCTAAATTCTCTGGAAGGAAGAGCTGAAGGGAAGAGAACGGGACGTTTGTTTGTTTGTTTGAAACTAACTTGTGTGTCACAAAAGGATTTCAGTCGGTTTCCATTTGGCTGTCCCTCCTTTCATAACCACTCAGCCCGGTGTTTAGGGCTGATGGGTAAGGAACCTGAGGGTGCTTAAGGCAGTGACCTTTCTCTATCTTTGAATTTTATTCATCAATTTTTTTTGCCTTTTATTTGTGGAACCCAACATGTAGAAAGGAAAGCCACACTAGGTGGGGCTGCAGAGCTCAGCTCACCCCATCAGTGAAGGTTTTCCAGTAACCCCACGTGCGTGGAGAAGTGGACATGTCTAAGGGGCTGTGGTGGCTGCATGCACTACGACTTGAGGGATGTCATGTGGTCAATAGTCCTCAGGGGTGGGTTTGGCTTATACATTGCAGAGCTGAGGTTTACAGAGGAAGTGGTCTGTCCACTGTATGGAAAACGGACCAATATCCAAAGTCACTGCCAGTTGATCCTTTCTGACTCCTAGTGACACGACAGAGCAGGGTTGAGCTGGCCCTGAAGGCTCCCAGGGTGTAACCATTATGGGTGCAGATAGCCTCATTTTTCTCCCTGGGCCCTGCTACTGGGTTCGAACTGTTGCTCTTGTGATTAGCAGCCCAACAAGTGACCTGCTATGCCCTCAAGAGTCCCTTATTGAAAACCGGCAGACACACAAAGAAAGAAAGGAAAAAAGGATGGAAAGAGTAAACCAAGTGTTTCTTAGAAGATTTTTCGTTTTGAGGAAATATTTTCAAGAAGAGTATTTTAGTATGAGGAGTCTTTGGGTAGCACAAAGAGTTACATGCTCAACTGTTAACTGAGAGGTTGGGGGTTCAACTCCAAAGTACGCAGAGACACCTCAGAAGAAAGGCCTGGCAAACTATTTCTGAAAAAAAAAATTCAGCTACTGAGAACCCAACGGAGCACAGATCTGTTCTGAAACACACGACATTCCTTCGAGTTGGAACTGAGTTCATCGCAACTGGCTTTTAGGTTAGCGCGAAGACTTCGTTTTACTTGGCTCCACAATTAAGCCTCATGGAAGCAGCAGTCCAGAAATCAAACGATGTATTGCATTAGGCAAATCAGCTGAGTAAGACATCCTTAAAATGGGAGCGAACAAAGACCTCACGCCGAGGAGGGAGGTGCACCTGACGGAAGGCACGAGCTTTCAGTTCTCTCACGGGCCTGCGTGGTAGTGAGATTTTATGTCAAGGTCACTTGAGGAGAGGTAGAGTCCAACCTGCCAGTCAGGTCACAGCTTGATGATGCGTCCCGGGAAATGTGGCAATCCCCTCTCTCTTGTTCTTCGCTGTCAACTTTGCTGGGACTCTGTGCCGACCTCCTGGGGCCATCTGACCCCGAGAGCAGCCAATGCCCTGCCATGTTTCCATTGATCTTGGATCCATGGGACTCTGCACCCACTGGCCTGTGATCGCCCAGCTTCCTGCTCCGCCTTTTGGCATCATCGGCCGGCAGCTGCCTGAGTCTGAAGAGGGCACCACCTTGCATCATACCTGTGCACTTGAGCTGGACTGGGCTGGGGTGCTGGCTGGATGTACAGTTGCTTCTTGTACTTAGATGAGCGTGCTGGTTCGTTTCCCCAGACAACCCAGCCTCACACAGCATGTGCGAGTTGGATGATGAATCAAGAACTAATGCATTTGAATTAGGGTGTCGGCAAAGAATGCTGGCAGGTCCAAGGGCCGAGTACAGCAGCCGCTAACAACCACAGGGTCCATTGGCACAATTGTATGGCGATAATATATAAAGATTATAGGAAAATCATAGAAAATTGGAGAGGTAGGAGAGAGAGTAAAATAAAGAAGTCAGGCACATTTCGTGGTAGCATGCTCACCTCAGCCCCTCTTGATGGTCCACGTGGAGGTGGGAGATGAGAGGAGGAGAGCGAGCGAGTATATTTCTAATCAAGGTTTATACACACTTAGAGGGCATGCAAGTCCCCCTGATTACATCATCACAGGAAGGGGTGGTACCACAGGTAATACATGCAATGGGAGGGGAACGATCTAGGAGTGTACACACAATAGGAAGGGGAGGGGTTTGGGGTACACATATGACAAGATGGGCGGACTCTAGATTCAAGATGGCAGCCTAACTTAGTCATCCTTAAGTGGGCTTGACTTGTCTCTGGGTTCTCCTTCAAGGAAACAATCCATCAGCAGGGACTGTTACTATCCATTATCAGCAGGGAGTGGGCCCCACCTATAGTGGGACAGGCAATAGAGTCTGATTGCTCTAGATGGCTAAGTTCCCTCAGGGAGATCACCTCTAAGCAGCTCGCGTTGACCTCCAAGTGTACAGTCATTTACCACGTGATGCAAGCATATATTTGGAGAACAGCCTGGGGAAAAACCTTTCTGTAGCCCACATTCCATGAACTGCCGGGAGAACAAACAGATTTGTTTGGCAAGAAGCACAGCCGGATTGCTCCTCGGAGGTGAGGATGGCAAGACTTTGTCTCTCACCCGTTGGGCCTGTCATCAGGAGGGACCTGGTGTGCAGAGAGGATCAGTCTCAAGAGTTAGACTCTCAGGGAGATGGATTGACACAGTGGCTGTGTCAACCATGGGCTCAACCACAGGGACAGGAGGGTGCAGCCTGGGCGGTATTTCTTTCTGCTGTAGGTAGGGTCAGGGCAACGGAACCGACTGGAAGGTACCCACACTGGAAACGTCTGTCTTCAAGGAAGGGGATGCCTCAAATATAAAACAGGTGGCCCTCAAATCCTCTCTGACTCACGGCAACCCCAGGAACGTCAGAGCAGAACTGTGATCCGTGGAGTTTTCCTTTTACTATTGTTGAGAATATTCACAGCCAAATCCTCACCAACTCAACAGCCTCTACAAGTACCATCCTGTGACACTGATTGTATTCTCTGAGTTATGCAATCACCCTCATCCTCTCTTTTTCCCTCAGCTGGTCTTTCCTCATTAATGTAAACTCATTTCTCCCTAAGCTTCCAAACCAATTTTTTTTTAAAAACAACAACAACACAGTTTTATTGGCATCTAATTCACATATCATACAATCCAATAGTTCAGTCATCTTAAGAAGAGGTGGATAATCATCACCACAACCAATTTCCTCTTTCTTGTACTCATTATTATTAGCTCCCCATTTCCCCCCAGCCCCCTGCCGTACCTCCAAGAGACCATTGGCCCAGCTACCCTGTAGATTCACCTATCCTAGATTTCATATACAGAAAGATCGAGAACAAAACAAAAAGCCCAACAACAACAAAGTAAAGCAGAAAATATTGAACACCCACACAAATTGAAAATAGGTCAAAAGGGAAATCAAATGATATTTAATCTTTCAAGTTGCTGCTATTCACTGGATCCCATTAAGGTGGTTGTTGAAACAGCCTAACCCTCAAGGCAGACATTTTTGCTGGTTAAGCTAAACCGTTGCCTGGTTTGAAGATGACCCCAGAGCATAGTTTGGTTTATAGTTTCAAATTAACTCAGGGCAATAGTTTCAGCGGTTCGTCAAGTAGTATGGGGTTCAGGAGCATTTGAAATTCTCTTCTTTCATTTTCCCCTTTTGATTAAGATTATGCGAGAGCATCCTTGATCGACATGTTCGTAAGTAATGGTAGCCAGACACCATCCAGTTCTAGTCTCCTGACAGAGGTCACAGTTGTTCTTGAAGGCAATCAGCCAGACATTCCCTTCTCCCGTTCCTGTGCAGCTCCCTCCATTGCTCCTGGCAATTAGAGACCAATGACTGTCCCCTGAATGACAGCTTGCAAGCTTTTAAGATCCCCAGCTAGGAGGTTGAACAGAAGCATGCTATTACACCAAATAACTAGTATGTCCCAGGGACCCATCACCCTCAACCTCCCAACTGTGGGCCCAAATCCCATGAGGTGTTTGGTCGTACATAAACAGCCTCCACGACTACTTTTTCGGTCACTGCTCTAAGTATAGCTAACTCTACACTTTTGCCAATTAAACCTCTTATAGGGGCACAGTTTCTTCACAGCAATTACAACCCTCCGTTGAGCAATTCTGCCTCTCTAGTTTTCAGTAGCTGGCTTTCAGCTGTCGCTCACCAGACCTTTGGGTGGACTCAAACCTCTGACCTTTAGCTTAGCAGCTGAGTGAATGAATTACTGGCACCAGCCAGGAGTGCCACCTAGAATACAGATGGTGCTGACCGTCCGATGTATCAAATTCAGTTTGACTCCTGGAGCTACGTCTCCCATGGACATCAGAATGGGCCAATATATGTGTTGCTTAAACATCTGCTAAGGAACAGAAATACACCACAAAACCAAGTCTTGGGCAAACTCCGTCGGCAAACACAAACAGTTTCGTGCTCACTGGTGGGTGGCCTCAGATGACAAGGACGTGGCCAGCTGCTTTAGGATTAAAGATGTGTCCATATAGGATTTTCTGCAGGGCTCATGCATGGCCTCTTCATTTTTCTTGATTCCCCAGGGAACAAGCCCAGACTGCAGATCACAAGGTGCAGACAAGGCACGGGTAGGTCTATTGGGATCAAGCCTCCAGCGAATCCCCTCTGATTATAGACCAGGGATGTGTCTCGCCTTGCAATCATGTAGAATGCACTGGAAAGTGGATTATTACAGATGCAGTTAGGCTGAAATTCGGCATCTTACCATTTGATCTCCCTTTGGACCCCTTTCAAATTTGTTCTAGTTTTTAATATGTTCTTTTTTAGAAAATTGGGGTTTTTCTCTGTTTTCCTTTGTTATTGTTGTTAGTTTGTTTGTTTTAGTATGTTTTCCTGTATATGGAATCCAGGATAGGTAAATCATAGCAACAGTAACTGGATTAATGGTTTCTCGGGGGGATGGTAGGGGAGGTTGGGGTGGGGGGAATGGGGAGCTAATAACAATGAGTAGAAGAAGCTCATTGTGCTAATGCGTGTCCAGCTCTTCTTAATATAATTGAACTATTGGATTGTATGATATGTGAGGTAGATGCCAATAAAACTGTGGTGTGTTTGTGTTTTTAAAAGAAACAGTGTGGCTCTAGAACTGCACAAATCATCAACTTCCACTAGAAAATAACCAGTAATTTGTGCCTTTCACCTAATGAGCGACCTCAATGACATACGTAATGTATACCTCAACACTGCATTTTCCAACCGACATAGAAAAAGGATGGTTTTATACATGTGTAACCTCACCTTCAAACTCTATGTAGGGCTCTGCTTCGTGAATGCATACATTCATTTTTTCTCTTAGACAGACCCTGGCCTCTGTTCAGACCTGCAGCTGGGGGTCACCCTTAGGTGGCTCTCGCTGATTCTTTCAGAAATTATCTCATGTATCGAACAGTCTCTAACCAACACTCATGGAAACTGCAGTCAAGAAATCAAATGATCTTTTGCTTTGGGCAAATCTGTTGCATAAAATCTCTTTCAAAGGTTAAAGAGCAAAATGCCACCCTGAGGACTAAGCTACACCTGGATCCAAGAAGCCCTGGTGTCTTTAATGGCCTCGTTTGCCTGGGAACGCTGGGGGATGGATAAGGAAGACTGGAGAAGAATTGATACATTTGAATTATGTTCTTGGCCAACACATAATGGCCAAGAATATTGAAAGCACCATGGATGGCCAGAAGGAAAAACAAATGTGTCAGCCAGAAGGCTCCCTAGAAGGGAGAATGGCAAAGCTGTCGCACACGTGTTTAGGGCACTTTATCAGACCCGTCCCTGGTAAAGGACATCATGCTTGGTAGACGGTCAATGGAAGGTAAAAAGACTCGATGAGCGGGGTGGACATGGTGGCTGCCACAATGGGCAATATGACACGTGTGAGGATGGCACATGGCCGAGGATGGTCCATGCTCTGTGATGCATGGGATTCCCATGAGTCTGACCAGCACGATGGCATCCAACACCAACAAGAAGAGTTCATAGTCAACCAGTCAAATCTTCCTGGCATGCTTCATTTGCAAACTGTCATTTCATGGGTCACTAAGTGTTTGGCTGCTAACCAGAAGGCTGGCAAATGGAAATGACCAGCCCATCTGTGGGTGAAAAAGGTGATAGGTTGTTTATTTTCTTTTTTTTTTTTGGATAATCTGTAAAGATTTCCAGTCTTGAAAAATCTGTGGGCCAGACCTACCTTGTCTCATCTGGTTACTCTCAGTTGGCATTGACCTCAGGACCATGGGTAAATCAGGAGGCAGGAGTAAGAAAGGTCAACCAGCAGGTGAATCTCTGCAATGGTGCAGATTACTCTGTGAGCTTGGATTGGACATCGTGTGTTCTCAGTAACAAACAAACAAACAAACAAACAAACAAGAACCTGAAATGCACCTCACAGGTCGGCAGGTTGTTTTCACCGGGAAGCACAGGATTTTCCAACGCCATATTTAAAATAAGTGACTTTGCAGTGAGGAACAAATCCTGAAGGTCACGGTATAAGGTATTTGTCCAGGATGAGAGACATATCCCGCCCCCCCCCCCCAGATTGTACTGTAATTGGCTGGTGCTTTCTACACAAGCAGATCCAGGGGGCTCTGAGTTCTGAAAAGGCACTGCCCTGACACGTACTTTCCAGCGGTAACAAACATCTCATCCTGGCACGCCGAGAAGACGATGGTGGTGGCGTTGCCCACATTAAGGCCGGCTGCGGGGCTGCCACAGATGGCGTCCCTTTTGTCTATGCTCCACACGACCACGCTGCCAAGAGAACGAAGACAGCGTTAAGAACAAGCAGTGATGATTTCCGTGGTCCCAGAAAGGAGAAAGTAGGAAGGAACCCCAAAAGTCACACTGTCCGCCCCCCAGGATGTCTCCGACTAAACCTTGGCTATTACAAGACAAAATGGGGTGACCTCCAACAACATTTTTTTCCCCTATTGCTTATTTCTTTATTGAAAGATCATTTTATTGGGGGCTTTTACAGGTCTTATAGCAATTCGCACATCAATGTTATCAAGTATTTTAGTGCATACGTTGCCATCATTATAGACATTTACTTTCTATTGAACCCTTGGTGTCAGCTTCTCTTTTTCCCCCTCCCCTCTTCCCCCACCCATGTGACCCCTTGATAGATTATAATTATTTTCATATCTTACACTGACCGGTCTCCCTTCCCCCACGGGTTCGATAATCCATCCCCATGGAGAGGTGTGTGTGTGGTTATGTGTCAATCATTGTGATCATTTCCCCCTTCCTCTCTTCTATTCCCCACCTTCCCCCGACCCTTCTGGTATCACTACTCCCATTCCTGTTCCTGGATTCTGTGTGTCCTGAGCTCTCGTCTCTTACCTGTACCTGTGCACGTGCTCTTGTCTAGCCCGAAATGAAAGGCAGGACTGGGGTCATGATAGTGGGGGGTGAGGAAGACTCAAGG